GATAAACACGCTTTCAAACGAATTCCACAAAAATCCAACTTGTAAAATTTCATCAGAATCTATGATATTTTTCCTTTGAAATTTTCTTGATGCGATATTTAGTAGTGCCGTTGAACCCAGCTCCAGCGATTTAATTTATTTTTAATCCATTTCACCAATCCCATCGGTGGATATACTGTTGTTGCGCTCCGGCGGACGTTAGCGAACGATTTACATAGGCGAGTGTTTTGGAGCCATCACGTACGCCATCGAGTAGTTAATACCTATTTTCGTTTGGCCCGTACACGTTCCACGGAATTTTATTTGGCGGCAGTGGACCGTAACGAAATCCCTCAGCGCTGCGCGCCGACTAAAATCCCGTTCCGGGGGCCGCGATTGGCGGGCGCTTGATTGAATTGGCGGTCAGTGGCGGGCATTAGGTCCAGCTTGCAAAGGATTGAATTTCTGTCACAATTATCGACCCATCCCTCTTATCCGCGCGCGCCTACGTACGTACCCGCTTCGAGTTTCATGGCAATCGTCTAAACGCAGCTGCTGCCTTTAATGGGAAGGGCAAGCAACGAAGGAGGGTAAACTTGAATCCAAACGGCCCTAAACGACGTTCGAATAAACGCCGCGCATCTCTGTGCAGAATTGCTTTTACCGAAGCGAAGGCTCTCACCGGCTCGGGCATTTCCCGTTTGGAATACAGAATTATAAGATGAATACCGTTTTAAGTCCAGGGGCGATTAAAGCGGTACTGCACTCACTCAATGATATAATATCAAGGATATAATATGAAGTAAAGGACAAAGTGACACAAGAACAACTGTGCACAATTTTACTTGCGCAATAAAATGTCGATAATTGAGGCGACGAAAGGGTCAAGGAATTGCTGACGTAATAATTACGGAAAATTTCTATCGAGATGCTCCTCAGATCACTTATGAAATAATAACTTGAGCTGTGAGCGTCTGCTGGGAGAAAGCCTAAATATGGAAAATTCCATGTCCGGACGCAATATACATTTCTTCACATTAACACCAGTTTATTCATTGACGCATTGGAAAGCACCGAGAGAAGAGTGTCACGGCCGACCCGAATTGTCGGCACGTATACTTTCGTCGTTAAGCCTGGAAACGTGAGATGAATCTGCGGATTGCGCGATCGAGATCAATGTCGAGCCTGATATTCCGATCGGGTCTCATTAGAAAGTGTTGCGTCGTCCCATAAAATGTAATTACACGAGTAGTTTTCAAATCTACCACATAAATAGGCGAGTCATAATTTATTCAATATCATTGAAGTTTTATATTATGAGGATTTTCAGAAATTTTAGTTTTTCTGAGAAAAAGCCTATATTCTCATTATTAAAATCCAATTTAATTTTATTTCTTCTTTTATATTATTAAATTGCCGTTATACTGCGACATAATTTTAAGCTCACTTTCTTAACTTTATCAAGTTCATGGAAAATCGCATAATAACATCGTAATGCAAGGTCTCATCGAAGAAATCTGTTCGCGCGATAAATTATTTCCGGATGTATAATTATCGCATATGGTGTATTCGTTAGCGATGACATAACAATGTATTTGAACGTAGTGATTAGCGCGGCGTTATCCGCACTTCTCTTTTCCGTGTCTACACTCTCCACAATCGATGGAAGTAGATACAGTGCAGAGTTGTTCCAGCAACGTTACAAAACAAGGTCCACGCGCGGTGCGCACCGGCGCTCATAATATTGTTGCAAGGTGTGCACCTGGGCAAGATGAATGCAACACCGCTCTTTAACTCTTCTAAGCACCAAAGATCAAAGAAAATTATACCGCTATTTATATACGCAAAATAGATTTTATAATGGGACATAAGTAATCTTATTTGTCAATAAAATTACGCGTTATAATATCCTTAAAATATAATTAGTAACCATTTATTATTATATATCGTATAGTAATTAATTTAGCATGTGTTCTAATTATTATTCTAAATTTCATTAAAAAAACTTAATTATAATATTTTTATATATTAATGTGTTTTAAATAATTGATAATAATAAAGTATTTATATAAATTCAAAATACAGATTATTAATTATTTAAATATAAAGATTAATTATTACTGATGATTATAAAAATAGTTATCATATGATATGTAAAATATTACTGACACTTTAAAGCATTATAACCGTTTTGAGAAATTGATATCATCATGTGATGAATTTATTTTGATCTGAATAAGTTTCTTTATGGTTCTGACGAATGCGGATCCTGACCTCCATTAACCGAGTATTGATGACCTTACCAGCCGCACTGGACTAGGTGATCATACTCTAATACGGGAATATAGACTACCCACATTTCAATTCGAGAGAATATTAAATCACTTCAGTTAATTAAATTAAATTGACAAGCCGGCATAGATAATCGCGCGTCTTTAATGATTAAAAATATAAAGGTAAAAAAATTATTTTTGTGAAAAATAAATGTTTTAACTATTCGTATTCCCTAAAATTGTTTCAAGTAATTATCGATTACGGCAAGCATCAATAGTGAAAAAAATAAAATAGTTATCTCAATTCTATAACAAAAATTTTTACAAAAATAAAATAGATATTTTATAACAAATGTTGATATTTCTTATTTGAAAATTTTTTCAAAGAAATAAGTGCTTTAATACACGACTTCGGAAACTCAAAGGAAATTAGGAATATATTTTTCAGAATGGAGATAAAAATTTATCATTTCCCATTGGTTGATAGCTGGACTATTAATCATATCTAACTGCTTCTGACTTCTAATGGTCGAAGACATTAAAGTTCCTAATATTTTATAGTATTATCTGGTCGGTGACGTCACCCTTTTCGCAGTTTATCATCGTTCATTATCTTCCACGAGGAGGACTCATCTCTAAAATATACAACACGATAGAGCAGCGAACAGTGATTCTCAGAATTATGTGGAAATGTTATTTTGATTACTTGCAGATTATTTAAAGGCTAGGATAATTAAATAAGAGAAATTAAAACATGATCTATGAAAACATCCCTGCATAATTAAACTGTTTATTCATATTACCATTTTCTTAGCTTAAAGCTAAGATCGCGAATTATTATCGAAAGTGTGCATTGTAATTTACTGTAACTGATTTTTATTATCAGTCTTTCAATTGTACCAACGACGCTATAAATTTGCTATACCTGAAGACCATAAAAAAATTAACCTGCCGTAAAAAATTGGCCTGCCATAAGAAAGAACGCAGGACGTCTGTTGTTATTGTCTACACTAAAAGCTTGGATATTACTCGTCCTTTATTGTTTGATTATTAATTCTTGAATGTACACCTTTTTAAAGAACTTTCACAAAAGCATAAATAGTAAGAAAATAGTTTTCATAAATTTAAATCAAGGGTTGTTGAAAAATAGTTTCAATGAATCTTAACTATTTCGAGTGAATTTTTCTCGTTTATTAATTTTATTGTTAGACAATATATTTTTTTACGGTTCTGCTGCAGTGCGTTCCGGCGGATTTTATCGCGTGGCACACATGGACGACAAGGATAAAGATATAAAAGTCAATAATTGGTCGCTTTCGCGTTCAATGGCGAGTAACGAGTATACTAAATGGAGTAATTTTCGTTGCACAATAACATATATAAAGTAGTTTCATTAAGCAGCAGATTGTTACGATAAATGGCCGATGATATTAGCGATGATTAAACCAAAGATTATGCCGATGTTTTACATGAAGAATGAAAGCATTGATACAAAAATCCGAAGGAGGGAGAACTGTTTGCAATAATTAACGTATGTTAATTATACGCATTCTTCATTATGGAACAATTAGTTTTATCATTAGAAAGTTAGATCATTAGAAAATATTGCTTAGTGCATAAAATTTGTTTTCAAATAGTTTTATTTTAAAACAGTGATCTTTTGACAAACTTTTATGCATTCTTTTATTAAATAATGACCGTTTTGACCGTTTCGATATATTACGTAACACTCATTGCAAAACGTAAGTACTTTTTGTTTCTTTCCTGGTTGAGAAACAGGTGAAGTTATTTTTGCAGAATTAAATTTGTGTTTCGTGTCGCGGAATCGTATTCTTGAAACTAATTGAGAACCGCGAAGTGCGCTCCGTTAACGAGCGTAATTGTTCTTGGATACAAGGGGATTTAATTACACAGCACCTTGCTCCGTGCGCCGAGCACAGCGTATCTCGTATTAATGAGCGACGATCGCGAAGGTGAGTAATTACGCAAAGAGTGGTCGGCATATCAACAATCGCGCTTTTAGCCTGATTCCACATCATTTGTTTACAAGCAAATGAACTGCGGGAACCCACAACACGTTGCGGATTAATTAATTGGTCACACACGTTTCTAATGTGTACGCATCGTCGCGAATCGATGCTGATGCCGATTCATTACCATAATCTCGATCACGCGTCAGTCCGGAAGTATTTGAATGCATAAACTTCTTTAACAAATGAGAAATTGTAATTGATACAAAACAATATCAAGATTTGTAATCAAAAAATTAAAAATTTAAACACGTATTATAGAATCTGTGACAATTTTTGAAATGTCACAAAACAAGATTATTAAAAATCATTTTGCATATAGCAACATTATTTTTTAGAAAGAAAGATTAATTTGAGATTAATACTGTTGAGTAATAAAATATATTTTTAATGTTTCTTTAACAAATGGTGAAAAATACTATTTTAATTTTAATAAATTAACATTTCAAGATTATTGTATTCTAATTTTCGAATGATATTGAATGACTCCAAATATATCACTGGTAATTTTCGCGAATTTTTTGCGACATTTCGTGACCATTCCCTAAAAACGCAAATTATCGGCTACAATTTGCAGTTCCGCATAAGATACGTGACATTCGCGATATCCGCGGGGACCAATTGCGAGGATGATCGATTTCTGCTGAGCGCCGGCGAGGCGTTTCTACCGCGTGTTTACATCTGTGTATATTCGATCTAAACGAAACAAAGTACTTACCCCGGCAAGCGCTGAGATCCGTTGCTCTCACTCTCGTTCTCGCTGATATCCGATAAAACAATATCAATTTATCGTGTCTCCTCACACACGCGCGTGCGAGCGTGTTACACGGTCCTTTCCCTCCCCCTTTTTTTCCAGCTCGTTACGAAATTTCTTCTTTTGATCCTGAAATAATCCTGGAACGTCCTTCTCGCGACAAACGTCAGACCCGCACTTTCTCACGCAATAACTGAGATAAAAAAATCGAAGCGAGGAAATGACCGAATGTGTCACACTCGCGCACAAGACTTCCGTTACCAATTGCACCGATCTCTTCTCCAGCCGGCGAATTTTTGCCTATGTCACGTGCTGCAAGACCTGTTTCGGGCCTACTCGTCGTCTGCTTTCTTTCTTCCTCTCTCAAGACGCTCGAATAAATGTCACTTTCTCTCTGTCTTTCTCTCCCCCTCTCTCTTTCTCTTTCTGTAGTCCGCTAAGTGTCAGTTTACTTTATTTGTCTGTTATTATCTCTTTTTCAATAATAAACTATCGTGCGATACGTCGTGCGTTTTTGTTTTATTTTTATTTACTTGAATATTTATTTAAATACTTCGTTAAATATGTCCTTCTCTCCCTTTAATCTTTATACTTCGCATTAATGTTCTAGGCAGATTTTTTCAGGAAAAGAACCGCTTACTTATTCACTTCAAGTATCTTTTATTCTTTTTTCCTATTGTTTTCACCTCGTCTCAATACTCTCGCACCTGTCCCGCTGACAGACAGACGCCACCGCCGCGCACTTTCACGAGTAGCGCTGCTTTCGGTCGCGTGTGCGAATCGACAACGACGAGCGAAATGGTGATGCAAACGCCGGTAGCCTAACGAATGATCTGAGTCTCTTCGATCTCCTCTCTACGGACGCGATCGGGCGCGATCGCACCGCCGAAATTCGTGCCGGCCGGAAGAGACGCTTCCGCCCGACCCGCTCGCGCGATTGATCGATCCTCCGATCGATGCTCTCTCCGCCAGACGTTTACACCGGATCCAGAAACCCGTGATATTTCATTGTTCCGCTGCGAGACCGAGGCTAACGAATGATCCGATCTCCTCTCTACGGACGCGATCGATCGCACCGCCGAACGTGCCGGAAGCGTGCGATTGATCGATCCTACCGATCGATGCTGAACGTTTAACACCGGATCCAGCCCGTGTTTCATAGCTTTGAAATTATATCCTTTAACAAAAAAAAAAAAAAAATAAATAAATAAAATCAAAAAATTTTTTATTTAAATAAAATATAAATCACGATTATCAAGGATTTCTCGTGCTTGAAACTTGCCTCGAGATTTTTCTCAGCAAAGACGACACACAATGTGAAGTAGAATTTTGAAAAAAAGCCGAGTGCTCGCAGAGCTACCTTCCGTTCGATGCAGGCGTCGAGTGGCGACTGTCGTTTCTTCCAACGCTCGGTCTGCCTCCGGCCTGTCCCTTCCCCCTCCTTGCTACCATCGGGAACCGACTACACACAGTTCACGGATTTATGCTATTACCGTACCGTGTTCCACCCCCTACGACCGATATGTTCTCTTCCACCACCCGCTGGTCTTTGCTTTTTTCAAAATTCCATGCTGTTTTGAAAGGCAAAGAAAATATAAATTGAAGATTCTAGAAAGCGATTGAGATATAAAGCGCAGGCAAACGAAGGTTGTCCTCTTAAATAGTGAGGACAATTACGACTATAAAATAATAATTCTTTTCCTGACTATTCGTTATTTCTTTTCGAACACGTATAACAATAAAAAAAGTAAAGGTTTCTACTATCCCTGGTATGCTCAGGAATTTTTTCAGGAATCCTTTTTTATAGCACCATAAAGAAGTTTTAACATCAGGTACAACAAATGATCCGTATAGGAGAGAAAGTGAATAAGAATAAAATAAAATACAATATTTTTTTGCCATTAATTCCAAGTTAAAGCCAAGTTCTTTCTACCATTAATACCATTTATGGTATTGAACATACATTCGATAAAAAGTGTCTCCCTCAAAGAATCAACCCTCTCTCCCCATAAATACGAATTTCCATGCGAAAAGAATTACGATGTATGCACGGCGTATGGCTGGCACGTGGCAGATATAAAAAGATATGACACGTGGACACAATGATAGTTTCCTTTTGAAACCGGAAAATTATAAATGGACTTTAATATAAAAATAACGAATTCTTTCAAAGAGCCGGAAATGCATAAAACAATCGTAAAAGGGATAGATATCCCTTTCAGCATCCCTCAATCTGCCGCTATAGTTGCGTCTGCAGATATATGCGTAGACGGATCCGGAAATTTTTTTGCAATGGCATTAATAGTCATCATAGTGTAACTCAGGTTATCGAACGTGTTATTATTATTATTTTTTTTTATTGAAAAGAGGATAATTTTGCAAACACATATTATTTGAGATGTAAAACGATAAAATTTGACTCGGTTAAACTCGACGTGAGGTTGGCACAGATGAAAAATAATTGCACGATCGATGCTGTGCAGAATGTGTGACGCTGACACAAATATTTCTTTACATCTCGAATTTACAAGGAGCGAGAAATTCCAGCGAAACGAGTTTGAGCTCCGTAATCTTTAGCTACTTCATGGCACGTGGTCCGGCGCTCCTCTCCCAAATCCGTCTATATGCGTACGCATTGCGCGATTGTAGGCTCTCTCGTGGGGAAAATAAATCAACTGAGGAAAACCTGCCGGAAGGTATTAACGTCGCATCGCGCGGGGAATCCTTCGCGAGAGAGGGTTAAGCCGGCGCCCTTATCGCGCATCCCCGAAACGCCGCGTAGTCCCGAGGGGATCTTCTCGTTCTCTGCCTGATCCTGCCTGACGCGCGGACGATTTGCCCGGCTCCGATTCTGCCGGTCGCATGATGTGGGACGACGAAGAAAGAGGATAGTAACCGGAGGGGGGGGCGGGAGCAGGGCACAGTGGGCCCTTATCAGAGGTCGCGCATGACGAGACAAGCTAATTGTGTTATCAGTGTGCAACGGACGCCACCATCCCCCGCTGCACCGCCGTCCCTCAAGCTGTCGCCCTTTCAACGTGCATGGCACGCGTGTTTGTTTTCCAAACGGTGCATCTGCTGCAGCGTAGTTACCGAGAATTGCAACGGGCGCGTGACTTCACGTATTCTCTCTCCTCGCAGGGCGTTTTAGAATTTCCAAACGTAAACTTTGAGAGAAAAGTTGCATTACTTACGTTGACTGGTCTGAAGAAAATCTTGGCAAGAAGTTTGCAATTTACATTTCAAAGTTAAGAAATATTCGAATAATTTTAAGTAACCGTCTTTTTCTATCGCAACGCTGATAACACAACATCGATAATGCACATTTTTTTCAATTACATTATCTTAACACAATCGTTGAACTTTATTTTACTCAATACATTTTATATTTTTAGGTATTTTGGGAATGTCAAAAAGATAGGTAAAGAACAAGATTAAACGAAAAATTCTAAATTTTTAGAAGCTTTAGAATACCATTTTATGCATACCGCGTTTATCTATTTTTGTTGACTCACCAGTGTTTAAAATTTGTCATTTTATATCAGTGACCATAAAGACAATTTAGAAAATGTTACAAAGTATTTCTTTTAATACGCTTTTTGACAATAGATCTTTTTATCGTCGAGACGTTTTTAGAGGCAGAACACTCAACGTTTCAAAGCACGAAATACGCAGTGTCGATCTGTTGCCGCAAGTCTGGCGCCGTTACTTATCGCTCTAGGTAATGCGTATTTTCTATTTGTTACACATTAAGTTAACGCAATCCACCGGCGCGCGCGCGGCAATTACAGTAGTGCATGCTGTCATCGCTCGAACGAACTATTAAAATAATTACAGGTGTCGACACGGTGCAGCGGCAGCGATAAGAAAGATCGGCCGCCGGCGGATATTGTCGTTGCAACTTTGTTACAACTACGCGTGGATAAAAGCCTGCCACTTTCCGCCCCGGGGATAAGAAAAATTGGGCGGGGGAGGATCCCGCACGGTGTCCGACTTAATTATAATATGGCGTGCGGACCGGAGCCCGGGGTCCATTTGCCCGCCTTGGTATGAATATCGCATTAAGTCGTGAGTGCGAGACAGCTCTAGGCAGGGGTGGGCCCCGACGGGAAACTACGAATTTAATAGAATAATAAATGGAGCTGCGCGGAGATGGCGATGCGGCGGTGTGCCCGAGGCATAAATCGATGCGCCAATCGTGATCACCCTATATAATAACTCAGATTGCTGAAAATTGTAGCGGTCTCGCTGCGACAAGGAAGCTGGGGAAATCATCCGCGGTCGATACGCTTCCCTTTGCGCGATATGCAACAAGAAACGTAACATTCAGTATTTTTTTTTTTACTTTCAGCATTATGAAAGAATTGATAGAAATTGTGCTCATCGTTCTTTATTACTTTAATGAATGGGATTACTTATGCTGATACCAACATACATGCGATAAACTGTAGAGTCCCAAAATCTTACAATTATTTTGCTCACATACCGTGGAAACTTTAATTTGATTCTATGTCACTCAAAATGTAGAAGTTATGCTACACCGGAGTAATTTGCACTCAAAAGAATTTTTTAATTACGAATAGAATGTAGGATTAAGTCAATTCTCTCGACTTTTTTTTTGTTTCAAAGTCAACGAGTCGAGGAAACGGAAACCTTCACCGCGGCGCGGCATGTCCCGCGAAGGAATGCGTCTCGGCATATAGGTCTGTGGAGTAATACCTAAATTAATAATCGCACCTTCCCGGCGGTAATTATGTGTACACTTGCCTGCTCGTACAGGAGGGTGAGGACGGGGGAGGAGCGGAGGTGGGGAGACTCGTAGGTAATTGCATGCGCGCATTCCCGCGTATCAGTATGCAGGCGTGCATAAGTGCGCTCGCATACGGGGTCGAACTCTCGGTACATTTGCCATAATGAATCCCGCCGGCACACGCGCGTTTCCGTCCGTGGAAAACAGGGAAATGTTAAGCGAAAATAATAACACATAAATAAAAGATATCCATCCGGACTGTGGAACTGAGTTATGTTGGCATATGATATAAATACGCATGGCGTTATAAATTTAGAAGTTGAGAAAAGTATAAATTAGCGATTAGCAATAATTTATAGATAATGACTATAATTATATATACAAATATCTTGGCGATTAAAACTTAAATTGAAATTCTATTTAATTAAATTTCCATTAAAGTTCTTTGAAAAAGTAATTTTCATTGTTGATTACGTGGAAAATTAATTGATTTTTATTTTAATGGGAAATTCTTTGTTCTGTAAAATATCGGTATAAAAATTAATTTAAAAAAAGCTGTACAAAAGAGAGATAAAAAAAGACAGTAATTTTGTATTTTTTTTATTGTTTTATAATATCATTTTTACTCCGAATTGTGTATTAATTTAAAATTTCTCTTATACATTACTTGAATTTTTTGAAATAAAAAGGGAGAGGACAAATTCTTATTATCAATTCAGAACCTATTATCTCCGGTAAGCTCGCAGACCGCAATTTCTCTCGAAAGGCAAAGTCTTGCTCGAAAAATACGCGGTGCATGTTGTTGGTTATCATCGCGTACACGCATCACCGGATATTCTCGTACACAGGGACAGCTCGCGCGACTCGATACATTTCCCATAATGAACCCGCTGGCACGTACACGCGTGTATACGGTCATCGTCGGGCATCAGGGGGGTGTGGGACGGGACAGATCGAGCTGTTGGAGTATAGCCTCTGTGATGTTACAGGTTCAATGCATTAGTTTGCCTAAAAGGTTTGTGCCATCAGTCTCTAAATGTCCCTCTGTCGTTCGCCCCTCTCTCACTTCTCCCTTCTGTCTCTCTGTTGTCCCTTTCTCTTTCTCTCTCTCTCTCTTTCTCTCTCATTCGCTCGCAATTTGCTCGTTCTCTATCCCTCAATCTCTCCCACCATTCGCTACCGCTTTGCTCGCGCGAACGCATCCTCCGGGGAAAAGGAGGGCAAACACACCCCCGTACACGATATACACACGCGCACG